AGGATTTGGAATTTTATTTTTGAATTTATTAATTTGAGTGTTTTTCTCCAACTAAGTGTAAAAAGCTTTTTTTTTTTTTCTTGGGTATAGGTGCGAAATACACCATTGGTCACTGAACTTTTATAAATGTAGTGTCATCTTAGTCATTAAAATTTCGTGTCTCTCAATTGGTCATCCATTTATATAAGGGTTAATTTCACATTCCTCCCTTGAGGTTTGCCATAGTTGCGGAAACCTCCCCTCACATTTTAGAAATTACACATACCTCCCTTATAAATTATTTGGGTCCCACAACAGACAGCAAAAAGGATATTAGGACATATTTACCCTCTAGAAACAAAAATATTTTATGAATTTTCCAACAAAATATCCATTCGTAAAATGCCTAAGATAGGCTTCAGTGAAATCAACTAGGAAAAAAACATTCGTTGCTAATCAAGTAATGACCATATAAAATGTCATCATTTCTTATATGAACTTCATGTCTACTAAATGCTATTCGCTGTAAGTCATATCAGGAGCCAAGTAGAAGACCTAAATTAGGCAAAAGTGAGGCAGGCACTGAATTATCAGGGGCTATGCTTTGGGTAACTTGTTTATTTTTGTTTGTTTCCGTTTGGATTGTTATTTTTGAAGTTTATAAAAAAATATACGGTAACAAATTGATACGTGTGAGATAACAAGATGATTGAGAAGCGTATTTACAGAAAATACAAGAGTTTTTTGATAGAAAACTACAATCCAAACACCACTGATCTAACTATTTCTGTAGGAGCATGCTACTAGAAATGTTCTTAGCAGTCCCACTCAAGTCATTGTAGCAATCAAAGTCTTGAAGTTGAGGTATTTAGCATAACGTACCTTGTACTTTACTTAAAGTTTTATTTAAATATTCAGCTTTGTTGACTTTTTTACACAGGAAACGCTTATGCTACTCAACTAGATAATCAAACTAATATGCAGGTCAGATCAAATCTTCAACAAATTCACAGTTACAAAAAAAAAGGGGGGGGGGGATTTGATTTCCAAGGTGTCATTGTAAACGTATTCTATTAAGCTAATTATCAAAATTAAGTGTATAGTTTGACTAAGAAAATAATTTGTTACAAAGAGGGAGAGCCACTAAACAGAGTGCTAGGGATGCTACTCAATCGCGCCATTTGCAAACTACTAGAAATTCAGAAGTCTCGTTTGGATGGAAGTGCGTCTGTGACTAATTCTAGCAAGATTTCTACAATTGACCAGAGGGTCTCCCTTCAAGCTAGAGCATCATTTGACACTGACAATATCAATAGTAGTAGCTTTGGCATGAGGTTCTAAAGCTCCTATAAAGAACAACTCAGTAGTAAAGTAGTTTTTGAAATGTTTAGGTGCTATAGAGCCAAACTTATATTAAGTCTAGTGATTGTCTAATGGTATGCTGGATAGTAGAACTTAACTTTTGTGTGGAAATGCATTAGAACTATACCTATATAGTTCTGCAGCCTTTGCAATCTTCATCATCCTCACAAGGAAGTAGATGGTGTTTTGGATAAATCAAGATTGCTTAGTAGCTTTCTCTTGTTGATAATAGTACAAGGATAAGCAATATACTACTCCGTTGATAGCAAGTAGCAATTGAACATAGAAGCTGAATACTTGTGCTCTTTTGCTAGGAATGACTCCATTGGGATCATGTAATGGTGATATTTTTGGATTTTGGGTAAATTATCTTTTACCCCCTATGATTTGATATTTTATCACATAATCCCCCTTTGTTCAAAAATCTATATATAACCCTCTTATGGATTGAATTAAAATGTTACCGTTTCTTTTTTCGTTAAAACTAATGGTCAATAATAAAAAGTCAATGTCAAACTAGTAATTTGATAAATGTACCCTTTCATTACTTCTTTTTTTTTCCTCCAAACCAAAAAAGAAGAAATTGAGATAAACATAGATAAACAAGAAATAGAAAAAACTATTAAATATTTGGTTAAAAACCTAAAATGATATTTGTAGTAAAAAAAGTAAGTATTTGTTGTTTCTTATTTATTTTTTTATTCCCTTTCCATCTTTTTTGTTTCTTATTTAATTATCTTTTATTTCCTTTTCATTTCTTTTGTATTTGGAGAAAATTAAGATTTTGTAGGCCAAAGTATAGATTTCAAAATCATCTCTTCTCTTCCCAAAAAAAAAGAGAGAGAGAGAAAGAAAAGGAAAAAAGAAAAAAAAAGTAAAGGTGAATTTGTCAATTTATTAGTTTGACTTTGACTTTTTACTATTGACCGTTAGTTTTAACGGAAAACTAACAGTAACCCTTTAAACCAAACCATGAGGGGATTATACATAGATTTTAAACCATAAAGGGTTTATATGATAAAGTATCAAACTACACGAGGGTAAAGGTAATTTACCCTTTTGGGTTTGTAGCAACTGAAATTGTTATACATGAAGCGTTCTTGTCACAGGAGGCATATTAAGTTTATAGAATGAAACTACATTGTTGCTGCCAACCAGATTTGTTCTTTAAGTCCCCCTTTATATGTTTCAATTTCTGAAAATAGCCATTGCAGTTCAAACGGCTTTCTAATGACCAACTGAACTTGGCAATTTTTCAAGTCACAGTCAATTTATATTCTAAGCCACGTAATTTATCTATATCCTAATCAAATCACATTTTTTTTCTTATTTCATGTTACCTTCAAATGGGCCATGATAAGGATACTATGAGAAGGAAAATGCTACTTTACATAGGAAATCAGTTTTTTATATCCTATCAATATGACATGAACTGAATTTGTTAGAGAAAAACCTCAAATTAAGGGAGGTATGTGTAATTTCTGAAATATGAGAAGGGATTCCTACAATTATGGCAAACCTCAAAGGAGGAATGTGAAATTAACCCTTTATATAATTGCCACATTTTGCACCTTTTATCCAACTTCGTCCTTTAACTAAGGGTATCTAAATTATTTGGGATTAATAGCAAAATGCTCCCTTGAACTAATATCATTTTGTTTTTGCCTCTAAATTATAAATGCAGCACTTCACTATCTCATGATTAATTTGTGTTGGATTGCTCCAATCAAGCAAATATAGCACGAGGCCTTAGTTTAATAGTTAAAATTGTGACCTCAAGAATTATAGGCTCCATTTGGTAAGTAAGTTTTCCGGGTGTTTGTCTAAAACTTTGCTATAGCTTACTGTAGAAATTTTAAAAAATATTTTTGAAGTGTGTTTTTTCTTGAATATTTTAAAATGTATAGTTTAAAAACTTTGAGAAGTTTTTTGAAATTACTGTAGCGAAACTTTTTAAAAAATTTGTAACAGACAAATTTGGCAAAAAACTTGTCTGCCAAACAAGGCTATAAGTTCAAGATTCAAATTTCCTTATCTCCTTTGACTTTTAAATTCCATCTCTATTTTACTGACAAAGAATGTAAGTATAACACCTTACATTTAAAGGAAAGGAGTGTAGTAGCCTTATAACATATGTGTATTTATGATCTTACTTTGATGTTAACATTAGCACTAAAGATTTTATCTTATACTCCTTTTCAATTATGTATAGATATTAGTTTTGTAGTCATAGTTCAAAATAAATTATGGACACGTTAATTTAGTCGAAACAGGAGAAAGGTCAACCCTCATGTACATATCATTTCAGTTGGGTCTTAAGAACGACTTAGTTCATTATATTTGGAGACAACACGAAGATTATCTGCAATTGCATATTCCAACCGACTTAGAGTCTAAGTCGGAGAAACTGATTTGGATTAAATTTACCCGGTCAATAATTCAATATTGAACTATTAAACTTAGTTCCAATTGCCAATAGAGAGGGACATAAGTCCCTCCTTCAGTGTGTGTATGTATGTGTATATGTCCCTATTTCGATGTGTATGTGTATATATACGAGGACATATATTATATGTGGAATTTTATGTCTTTAAGTTTTCCTTCCATGTGGTGGCATCAAAAGGTCATAGCTACAATATTCATCAGTCAGTAATCGATAATTTGGTTTAAAAAAATTCAAGTTTTGTCAATTTTTTTTCAACAAAGTCAACATCTAATTACCATCCAAAATTTTATTTGATAATTAGATTTTATTTAGTATATATTAGTTAAGTATATTTAATACTCCCTTCGTCCCATTAAAAGTGTCATACTTTTCTGTTTTGACTGCTTTAAAATGTTTGTTATATTTAACATTTCTAACTACTTCATACTTTGAAATTTCCTTTATGTCCTTCATTAATGATGCATAAAGACAAATATGATGTAATTGCTTTCTATTTTTTACTTTGACCCGGATATGATTAAGGGCAAAAGTGAAACAAAAGTAAAAACTTTTTGGTGGAGTGTACTATGCATAAAAAGCGCACATCCCTAAACATGATTAAATATATGGGACGAAGGAAGTATGTAATTAACGATATAAGAGTTATTAATATGTTAATTAATGTGCTTTTAAGGTCACATATTTGTTTATAAGCATAAATTATTACTTATAACATTATTGACTAATACATTAATATGTAATATGATATATTAGTAGGTATGAAATATATCAATTAAAATATGAAATTCGATAATTCGGTCGATAATTAGGAATCGGAGAATCAAGTTTCAATATTCATTCCCAAATTGTTTAACTACTAAAATTTGAGATTGGATCGAATTTCATTTTACGGATGTCTCTAAATTGGATCCGCCAGTTATTTGGTTTTTGTGTGAACATCCCTAGTGACACGCTTTTTTCTTCTTTTCTAATTAAAAAAAAAAAGAAAATCAAGTCACCCGTCAGACAACGTAACCAAATTGCCTTGTTTAGCCAATTTCATTCGCCCGCCAATGCCTGGATGAGTTAACCGCCATAGGGAATGTGCCAAATAAGGCACCAATTGTATGGATTTCGTGATTCATACCCAACAAATGGTCCCCATCTCTCTGTCCCACGTGCCAATGAGCTGGATCTTGATTGCACAATAGAATTTCTCCAGCAAAACAGACAAACAATATGATACTATAGTATTATTTGTGGATTGACCTCTTGATCATTATTCATGTGATGTCATATGTGAATGCTGAGACCAAAATCTGGTGATTGGAAGATTTGCTTTTTCATGAAGAGAAGAAGAAGAAAAGACGAGCAAAAAACAGAAGAATATTGAAATTCAATCATGGGTTTTTCTAAAGACAATCTGACGGGGTTTATTTTAGCTCTGCTTTCAAGTGGATTCATAGGTGCCAGTTTCATCATCAAGAAAAAAGGCCTGAGAAGAGCTGCTGCAGCCTCTGGTGTCAGAGCTGGTTTGTTTGTTTGTTTGTTTTCTTTTTAATTTTTTAATTTTCCCTTTTTTTTTGAATTTTTTTTTGTATTGATAATTTCACAGTTTTGGTCTTTTTAGCATCTGGAATGATATTGCTTTTTTTACAATTCTTGCTAGTGATATATGTAAAGTTCTGAAAATTTTCCATTCGGGTTTTTGGGTTTTGGATTTTTTCTTGTCTTGATAGGTGCTCTGCATTTTGTGTAGGTATGGGTGGGCATGCTTACCTCTTGGAGCCCCTCTGGTGGTTTGGCATGATCACGAGTAAGTCTTCAATTTTTTTTTATGAACATCTTTAATCTTGTGGAATATAGCATGAATAACCTGTATTGGATATAGCGTAGCAAATTTAGGATTAAAAGTATGTTAAATGTTGTCTCACCTTTTGTTTAGTCTAAAGTGTGTTTATCTGATTACCAATCAAGTGCAATTGGAAGTATTCAAGATGTGATTTTGTTTCATTAGAGTGGAATTGGGAGTTTCCAACAGGCATGAAACGGCATTATGAATTTTACAAGGATTGCTTGTGTATCTTTTTCTGTTGCTTAGCTTAATCCTCAAGCAAGTTTGCCTTTCATATAAGGCTCATTATTTTTTTCCTGGCGACTTGACTGGTTACTGATTGCCAGCAGAATGTTTGTTGTTGTGTGGTTTCTAAAACAGTGATTGTTGGAGAGGTTGCCAATTTTGTGGCTTATGCATTTGCCCCTGCTGTTCTTGTTACACCCCTTGGTGCATTAAGTATAATTGTCAGGTACTTCAGTCTAAGTATCTTCTTTGATTTCTTTTGCTAAGGAATGCATTTAGTCTTCACTCAAAACAATTAATGACAATGTCCTAACAGCTCAAGTGGTATGTTACAGTGCTGTATTGGCTCACTTTATCTTGAAGGAGAAGTTGCACAAGCTTGGGATTTTGGGTTGTGTCATGTGCATTGCTGGCTCTGTCATAATTGTCATTCATGCACCACAGGAACGGTCCATCTCATCCATTCAAGAAATTGTGAATATGGCAACTCAACCTGGTATGAAGGTCCTCTGTATCTGATCACATGCATATTACATATATTAGCATAGTAAAATGCTTGACACAAATGCCTTTTCAATTTCAGCATTCTTGCTTTACGTGGGATCAGTGATGGTTTTGGTGTTTATTCTTATCTTCTATTTTGCACCTCAATATGGACACACGAATGTGCTCATCTTCACTGGCATTTGTTCGCTCATGGGTTCTCTCTCGGTAAATTCTGTATATTAAATGCTCAAGTTCATATTCTTCATTCTTTATCCTACCTAAACATGGATTCTGATTTACACAGAAGTATAAAAAGGATTGGACGAAATTAAGTACCCAATATTTGGTAGGATACATTATCAAGACACCTCTTGAGAATAGACTTGGTAATTAAACAGAGTCCTTGTCATCTTTGCAGTATAGGTTTTTGTTGGAGTTCTCTTGAATTTGTTTGGTTTACAAGTAATGAGAATTGCTCTTGACTACTCTGAACCAGCTACAAGTAATTACATGTATGAAATGCATCCTGTGATGTTATCCCTGTTGTTAAATGCGCCTAGCTTTATTCCAAGAAGTAAAACGCATTTAGAACAGTTTTCAGCATTCTGCTATAGCTTCTAAGGGAAAAATATGAAAGAACGACGAAAACAATAATCTGTTCCAGTACTAGTGAAGGCTTTCTAAACCTGTTTCCTTTGGAGTACTTGTACAAATGCATCTTCATAACCATGACTCAGTTGAGATTTACTTGAAGATTTGCACCCTATTTTTGTTGTCAATTTCCTCTGACAATAAAATTGTGTGAAAAAGTTTAGCTTTGATCTCAAGTTGATTATACAGGTTATGAGTGTAAAAGCCCTTGGAACAGCACTGAAATTGACATTTGAGGGAAGGAATCAGCTGATCTACCTGGAAACCTGGTTTTTTATGTTTGTTGTGGCAACTTGTGTCATCACTCAGATGAATTATCTCAACAAGGTGAGTAATGACTTGGCTTACTTGTTTATGAAGATAAATTTATGTCCCAAATCTTACGATATTAAGTGGACAACAAAGCTGTACATGCTGTAGAAACAAATGTTTTGATTTTAGAATAATGTAGATGGTTCTCTCATATCCATAGAAAAGGAGTTTTGTGGTTATTTTGATGCACATCAACATGTTCTATATGGTCTCAGCAGAACGATATGTGATCAGTTGTCTTTCGACTAAAATAAAAGAGGCTTTAACTGGATACAGCTCAAGTTGAAGTTCCCCTGTGCTAAAACTCCAATGAACGTCATCCAGATGTTTTGAGGCTAAAATAGGCATGCTCCTAGAATGCTAGCTGCCAACTAAACTTAAGACTTTGAATTAGGTTGTTTTGTCTGTGCTGACTAGTGAAGCTGTCCTAAATTGCACCACTAATGAGGCTGTCCAAAATTGCACGAACTTTTATGTGACAAAATAGGTTTTAAGAGATAAATGCAAGGAAACATTTGAAAATGTTTATGCAGCTAATTATTTCCAAAGGCATCTTGGCACTCAGAAAATTACCTTGGCTAATTGGCTCCATCACAACCTCTATGCAGAGTTTTGGTTTCCACAGGTTCTTGGTCAACTTCGTCCCTGCATAACTATTTCTTGAAATTGAAAACTGCCTTAACCTTAAGAAATTGTGTCTCATGATCTACTATTGTTGAAATATCTCCAATGGCTTTACATAGCATCAACTGCTTGATCCTTAATGCACTTGCTAGGTAACTTCTAGGATGGAAATCTGAGGAAATTAGTGGAAAGGTCCATGAAAAAATTCATTTCTATTCTTGCCTGGGGTAAAATGTCGAGTGAAGAATTGGTAATTTAGTAATGGGAATAATATGAACCTCCAGTTTGCTTCTTTGGTATGTCTTCATGGACAGAGAGAAGTACAGATGGTTAACCTGCAACATGAAGTGTTTGATAAGCGAATCTGGCTACTGCCATCTGTGTTTTGATCAGTAAAACTGGAAGAGTTTGTATTTTTTAAGTTCTATTTCATAACAAACATTAATGTTGGATATCCTAGTCCAGCAGACAAGCTTTTTGGAAATTCAATTTGAAGTTTTATTATGTTGCAGTATTGGGCAATTTTTTTTTTTTTTTTTAAATGGAATATTAGGGCAATTTGGATTTTGGCTTCTCCAATGTTTCGAGCAAATTTCCCATAGATGTTAGTAACATGTAAGATGGCATGATTGTTTGCACTTGCAGACTATTTAACTAGTAGTCTTAAGTTCTTTCTGCACATTCCCAATTTAGCACATTCCTATCTATAAGGTCTTAAAACTTTTCCATGAATGGTGTGGCTGGTGTTGAATTTCTTTTGTGTAGAACATCGTAGAATAGCCCTCTATTGCTAATTTACCCCCTTTAAGCAAGAATCCAGGTCATAATGGATAGATCAACTTCAGAATCACACACGTAAATTTTCAGACAGGGATATGAGCTTTTAAAGCTCTTCACTTCATCCAGTCTTCCTCTGTTCTTGACCTTTGGTATATTGAGTCCATGCATTCTTCTTTGTCTTTTATGTGCATAGTTACACAATGCAGGTTACAAAGTTTTTTTTTTTGCTTGGTTGATATATTTGCGTGTATGTTTTGTGTATAAGCTTCCTCTAAAAGACCTCTGAGAAGACCTTTAAGCCGTCTTCTTGTTGTGATCAGTACTTCTGTTGTTTAACATGTTATTGGTCTTTTAGGCACTTGACACCTTCAATACTGCAATTGTCTCTCCCATATATTATGTCCTGTTCACAACACTCACAATTGTGGCCAGCATTATTATGTTTAAGGTAACATTCCTTTGTAGTAAGGTATCTTGTTCTGAATATTATGTCCTACGTTTGCTGTCTGATTTTATCTGCAATTAATGTACATTTTAGGATTGGGATGGTCAAAGTGCTGGTAGCATCATATCAGAAATCTGTGGTTTCATTGTTGTTCTCTCGGGTACAATCTTATTGCACGTGACCAAGGATTTTGAGAGAAGCTCTTCTTTTAGAGGTGAAAAGGAATCTATTATTGGCAGTGCCATAGTTTAAAATCAGATTATGTATATAGTCAACATCCTATATCATTTGACTAAAATTTTTTGGTTTAATCTGAAAAGGCAATGCAGGAAACTACACACCTTTGTCGCCTACATTGTCTACACGACTATGTAGTGGAAATGGGGAATCACTAAAGCATGATGTGGAAGAAGGGCCATCCTCTGAGGAAGTGAGTTCAAGAAGACAAGATTTGTATACTTGAATGAACATGTTTCGTGAAAGCTTGTGACAGAAGAATGTGAATGAAGTATTTGCAGATTGGTTACTTCAAGTTCACCCTCGATGATGTGACAATTTGCTGAAGCTATTGGCGTCAGGTTATTTTTGCAGCTGTTGGAAGACAATCAAGTTAACCTTTTGATTCTCAACGATTGACGGATTGAGTGGATGGAAAAAAACTCAATGCTGATTCCTTCAGAGTGTGAAACTGTTCGGTTTGTTTTTAATCAATGCCTCGACAAGATTCTAGGGCTAGATTGGAGAAGTCAGCAAGCAGAGATCACTGCTGAGGAATTACATCATCTGAAGCATTCGTGCCGGAAACCAATTTTTATGGCAGCTTGTGGCAGATGCAGATGGTATAGAACTTCAATACATTTTTATGGTGTGTTTCGAACAATAACATATGAGAAATGAGCAGGTATACCATTGGTTAATGTATATCATTCTTTGAAGAAACAGTTGTTGCATAGGATTGTCATTTCGCTCTCTTTAACGGTGAGATGAAATCTCCGCTATTAAATTGGTTTATTTGAATTCATCTAATTGGAGATAGATTGAAGTGAATTTGGGCTGTAGAAGCAGGTATGCAAAGATCAGGGCAAACACCGCAGTTTTTTGGCCAATTGATCTGTTGAAAGCTAGTTTATTTCGAAGCACCCCGAGATGATGTTGGAAGACTGGACACATTTTGGACCAATTTTTAGCGTTCAAACGTTCATATGTGAAAATAGAACATGGAAGTACTCACTTCACATTGGAAAGTAAAAACTATTGGATAGTCTAGTTGTAGGGAGCCTTCTTGAGCTTCCACAATCCCATAGTTAAAGCTTCTCTATCAGAAGATCCATATGCAAGATCTTGGTAAGCAGTTTGTGTAACTTGTAGGCTATAAAAAGTACTACATGAAATATTTCATCGAGCAAATATTCATTAGAACAGGGGTACCACATTGCATGCCATATGGTGCTCCTCCAGCGTCCAATATTTTTTCAGTTTAATTGGTGGACTATATAAAGGCAATGGCTGGAGGTTGATAAAAAGAGTCTGACAAAGTGGAAGAAATGCTTGGACTGTTGGTAAATTTCCGGACAATAATATTCTACACCAGGCACAAAACAAGTAGCAATTTAACTATAAAATAGATGGTTTGCTTACAAGGGGCTTTTCTTTCCTTTTTTCTTGCTATGTTTTACCAGAAATTTGTTGTGGATTATATGGACATGTCATTGCCCAAAAGTTACCTTATTTGCAATTGATTCGTACCCATAAAACTTAGGATCACATTATATTCACAAATTCTAGGAACACTGATGTAAGACAAAAGCATTAACATATGCTAAGACTGGTAAAATTTATTGGTGAACACCACTCGAGCAGTTACCAAAACACAGTCACCACAAATAGCTGCTATATGGCTAATGACATTATGTGGTTCAAGAAAATAAGGGACAAGATATTAGAATCTGCCCTCTAGGATTTAGTTGGTTCTCTCTGTCTTTCTCCTCCATTCTCTGTAGGAACATAATTTGCCATGAAGATAGAAATCATAAAATGAAGGATTCAATTGAAGGAGATCCAGAAACTCATATCTACCATCTTCCAGACGAACTCCTTGTTTTCCTCTTCAACAAATTGGTAGATGCTAAATGCCTTTGTAGATGCTATATTGTATCTAAACGGTTTGCTTCCATCATAACTCAAATTCATGATGTATCATTTGCAATCCCTAGTCGTAACATAAACAACATTTCCAATCAGCAAAATGATTTATACCATGAAGAAAGTTTTGCAAAGAATGTGTTACAATTTTTTGTTGATAACATCTATACCAAACCTGTACGCTATTTAAGGTACATTTTTCTCCCCAAGCCACCACTTTCTGTCTCATTTGATCCCATTGTTTTCCGAGCTTTCACCAAATTTCTGAAAAAATTAGGACGTGTTAAATCTCTTCATGTTGAGTTACCATCTTTCCACGAAAATCAGTCAGTGCTGAAATGGGAAGCCGAGTTTGGGAGTGAATTAAGCTTTTGTGTAGTTCTATTTGCAACTACTTTCAGGATAATGCAAATGGAAGATTGTGAGAATGATGTTCGGCCAATTTCACTTACAAATGAGTTGCTTAGATCGAGATCTAATCACGCGATACAACGATTAATGGATGCTTTATGGAGGAACCACATTGTAAGACATGTTATAGAGGATCACAAGGAGCTGAAGGATTTGACAGTTTCTGATTCAAATAAAGAAGGTACACTTTGTTTGGGAGAGAACCAGATTGCTGAACTCCATGATTTATCCCCAACTTTACCAACATCTGGCTATGTGAAGATATGGCATGCTCCTATTATGCATCTGTTAACTTCTGGCCATGTGATGGAAGGGGCAACAGTGGTTATGGTAAGGCTTCTTGATCAGCAGTCTGCTGATGAAGATCGCATAATGAACAGGGTTTTTAAAGAAGAGGAGGTTTTCAGGGAAGCTGCAAAGGAAATTTATGAAAACTACAAGACTGATGCTCTTACGTATGTGATTGAACTCAATATTCCTTGATATAATAGAGATTAAGTTTTGTATTTGATCCTTTTTGTTTATGTGGAAGTTCACATTATGGAATCCCTTAATCCTTGTTCTTGAGTTCTTGAAGACTGATGTCTTGGGAGGTAGAATTAGGAGCTAGAAGAACTTTTTAGTCATTTCAATAATTATATACATCAGCATTACCAAACAAGCTATACTGTGTCATATAATACATACATGCTGCAATCAAGTATAAACGGATAATCAACAGGAGATGTCATACAAAATTGCTGATCCTCTTGACAGCCGCAAAAATCAGGTTTCTACATACCCTTTGGCAGAGTTGTAAACAATAATTGGATTGAACAAAATCCTGTTAAGTAAGATGCATATTTTTTCACACTTTTGACATACATGGCAAAAGACCATTGCAGATGACACATCAAGATATTTGGAAGTGGGAGTGAAACAGCAATCACATGTGCCTGAGAGTTGATGGACATGAATAGTCTCAAATAGTTGGTTGCAAACCTTTGAGTAAATATTAGGAGACTCAATCAAGTTAAAATAAAACCTAATATCGCCGCGGATTTCAGTCGAAGATTCTAAATGAGTAATTAACTTGACCAAACAAAAGCTCACTGCAACTTCAAGATCATTAAATCAAAACTTCTGCCTAGAAAACATCGAATCCTCAACCGAATGGTTACTTACAGCCAGAGTGAAATTATTGAAATATACACATGGACGAGATTATAGGACTTTGAACCTCATAAGGTATCAGCAAGGAGACAAAATACCTCAGCAGGAAAGACGCAGGAAAGAGAACAATACACCTAATTGTACACAATACAGCGATAAACCTCAGTCCACTTTTTCACGTGTCTTTTAACTTCATGCAGATCCTGGAAATCAATTTGACCTCTATCTTATACAGTCATTAGCTTTCCTGTTGTGTTCCTCTTGATCTGCTTAGTTGGTTCTATTCCCTCTTTACAGACCAACATTTTTTTTACAGAGATAATGGTATTCAGGTCCACAGATGAAGTATTGAAATTCCAAGCCAAAAAAAAAAAAAGAAAAGGAAAGTACACCTCGTAAGCATCAGGACAGGAAATTTAACGTTAATACTATGTTTTCACCAGCCTTCAGCAGTCACTACCTAATAGAATTTCCAGCCTCTGCCTTAAAAGATCTCACTCTCAAAATGTATCTTTCAGGCCTGTTGCCTTAAAGCTATTTAACGACGGCCTACAAATTGTCTTTTTTACCAAAAATAACCTCTGAAACTAATTCTTAAAGGCTATCATGATGGACCCAAATTGATAAATACACAAAAGCCTACAAGAACAATCTAGAAGAACCGATATAGAGGCCAAGAAATTCTTTATTGATGAAAACCAAGCAGCGGCGCAAAACAAAGAAAACACAACGGACAGAGGTTTCTCACTATAATATCTTTATGCGTTTGTACAATAATATGTCAAATGCAAACAGCCAGACTTAGTACTTATATCCTATACAAAATCTTCTACTAATACTAATAAAAAATTCATACTCACATGGCCCACCTTAATAAAACCAACCAATCACACTAAAGCCACATGGCAACATAAATAAATAGCAAAAGTTTGGTTTATATTTCTACATATCAGGTTACTTCATTTTCATTTACACCCCATATTAGCTAGCAATCATCTGACTTCAAATTGTATTAATTTCTACCTGGATATCCATCTAGTTTGTTGACATCTTAGAGAACGCTTTAAAATGCCTCCACAATATCTGGCCTACAACAGAAACATTTGTTGAATCCAAACTCAAAGAGCAACAGGGTTTTAGAGTATATAATTTGAGTAGTAGAGGACGTTGGTGCAATTGATGCACAATTTCACTAACAAAGTGGGGATGAAGATGATGATCTTGAGGCGTGTTTAACACTATCTTTAACATGTTCTTTGCGCCCCCTAACAAAGTATTTGCTGCAGGGTTATGGCAAATTACCTCTAGAATACAACAAGATTTTTAGAGTAACTTGATAGTAAATGTCAAGTTTGCTCTACAAAGAAATGATCAAATGTTCTAATTAGTTTATGTGTTAGAGACTTGTTATTTTATAGTGAAAAGACAGCCCAAGGGTTACAAGTTATTTAGCCACTATTTCACATGTTTATGGACATTTATGAATATTGAAAGGTACCATTAAACCCCTTCAATGGATAGAAAATGCCAAAAACATTTTAGAAACTTTTGGCTTCCAACAGAATCTTAAGTTTCCAAACTTTTTTTTTATGGTAACAAGTCTCATTCCTATTTCATTCACAAATTATTGGAACAATCCCCCACTTAGTTTGTTAATGAAATAAACAAACTAACACATAAAATACCATGCATAAAGAAAAGTATTGTTGATTTAAACTTTTCTTTTAGTGTAAGCATATCACCAAATCTAACCAAATCAAGGTTGCATATAACATTAAACCATGATTTGAAAATTAGACTAGATATACAACACACATGGTATTATAAACATTGATCAAATCACAAAAAACTTTAGCACTATTACCGGCCATGTGTTCCATCCTAGATTCATGATCATAAGCAAAAACAAACCTAACTTTTACTAGAAGTGGCACCGCTCCTATGATCATATAGGTGAAGACACTTTCATGCTTTATAGGACCAAGCACTAAGAAAGAATTTACACTTCCTTAAGAGTATAATTTCAACGTATACTCAACCTCTTATAACATTATGCACTAGTGGGTGGGAATATACACAACATAACCTAGTGCTCACAACCACTTAACAACTTGTATTGACCCCTTAAACCTTTTCATCTAATGGTATGCTAGAATCAAGGTAGGGTTCCCATTGCAAGTGATTTTAGATTAAGGTTTTCAACCATATGTCCAATGACATTAAATTCACCAAGTCCCTTGATGAGGGTTTAGTCAACGGATATCCTTAATTGTTGCATTTTTCATATGCGATAAACATAACGTCATTCTTTTAATGAAATTTGTTTAAGACACTGAAGTTTT